TGTAGTATTAGAGTCTTACCCCCCTAAAGGATAGTTTAAATTTGTCTTAGTATGAACTATAAAGAAATGTCTCGTCTGCAGGGGTAGAATTAACAATTTTTCCCGAAATATTCACCGGAATAAAAAATATTCCGTAAAAAATTACACCGTAAGAGGATAGATGTAAGATGAAAATACACGTTGGGGCCGGGGGTTTTGGTATTACAGATAGGTGGGTGCATTTTTTCGTAATTTAACCATTTTTTGGGGCGTTTTCATAATTTACCCTATTGTTAAATTATTTGGGGTCATTAGCAATACACCCCTCATATAGATAAGAAATGGTGATATGTCCACCCCTTAAATCTTTCTTTGTGATAACCCCCTAGAAATTTTATTCCCAAATCTACCCTTATGACAATTAACATAATTATTCTCAATTATTCCCTTTTTTCTCTCTTTCCATAACAATAATCTAATTCATTCCTTAAAATCTGCTTCTAAATCCCTAAAAATTTGCTACCAAATAAAAAAATGATTTTTTTATTTCTTATTTTTTTATTATTTTCGAATTTTATTTATCCATTATTTATTTATTTATTTTTTTAATATTTTTTTAATAAAAATATATTTTTAATTCTTTTTTTATTTTTTTCAAAGAAAAAATTGAAATTCTTTTCTCGACAGATTTACAAAGCCGAATATGACTATAGTTGAATATGACTATATGTGACTATATTAACTCGAATATGACTATAGTTGAATATGACTATATGTGACTATATTAACTGTAGTCATATTATTTTTTATATTGCAGTTTTTCACTTTTTCAACTTAACAATTCCGATTATATAGTGTGGTATAGTCATGTTCACCAAATTATATAAAACAACGAAGGTTCCTTATTGTTTACGAAAACAATCCAATCAACATCCACACAAAAAAATCACAATTTGAATCTAGTTATTAGAAGTCAACTTCAAAACGATAAAATAGAACATATTCGAATATGACTACCGTCGTATTCAACAATAGTCATATTCGAATATGACTACAATCATATTCAAACAATACATAAATATGACTATAGTCATATTCGAATATGACAATAGTCATGTTACTGCTACTGTTCAGATCTGAAAATACAATTTTCAGATCTGAAAAAAAAAAAAAAAAAAAAAAAAAAAAAAAGAGAAGAGAAATCGAGAAATACATAAATATGACTATAGTCATATTCGAATATGACTAGTAATGTTACTACTTCTGTACAGATCTAGAAAAAAAAATCGAAAAATACATAAATAAAGATAGAAAAATAACGAGAGAGAGGGATGGGAGTTGACGAGGTCTTCATACACAAAATCACCCTGACATATCTTCACCTCAAACGACCCTCCATACTTCAACATAATCATCAAGGTTGGCGACATGATGTGCAGCACTACAAAAAACATGAGAATGTGACTACTATGTGAATAATTCTGCTGAATGAATCTGCACTATTCTTTAAATGCAATTCATATAATATTATGTGAATTCATTTCAGTCACAACAAACACATTGAAACTTACACTAACATATCAAGTAACGCAAAAAAAATTTTTTTACAATAAGATCACAATTTGAATCATATTATTAAAAGTCAACATGAAACGATAAAATGGAACATATTCGAATATGACTATAATCATATTCAACAATCTTTAAATTAATAATAAGAAAAATAAATAAAGCACGTCAATTGTAGTGCAGCACCGTACCACTAAACCAAACCATTGTGAAAAAACAAAAAAATCATCTTAAAAAATATAAACTAATAAAATAAATAAAGATCTTGCAAATAAAAAAAGAATAATGAACATGAATATGTCACCTGACTCCGGAGCCGCCGCTCGAAGACAGAGCCGAGCTTATGAGCCCGGATAGCCTGCAGAAAGTCAGCCAACGGCTGCGATTCGGCAGACAATTCCTTCACGGCTGAGATTGATCCTCGTGTTCACGCTCATCGCCACTCATAGTACCGCGGCGCACCTTATCACTTCCCTCCTCCTTCCTCGATCTACTGGCGGAACTCTGCACATCGGAGTTTTCCTTCGTCGCCTCCTCTCTTCCGCCGTCTGACTCAACTAAATCGGTCGAATCGGTCGAATCGGTTACAAAACACACACACACACAGATACATTTCACACACACACACAGACCCACGTACAAAGTTAAGAAGAAATAGTTCCACACATACACATATACAAAACACACACACACACACACACATATACAAAACACACACACACAGAGATACAAAAACACACACACACGGATACATTTCACACACACTTTTTAGTTGCAATATTTCACACACACATACAAAACACACACACAGACCCACATATCCATACGCATACGACAATATGACTTTTTGGGGAGGTTTGACGGCAGAACCCTAGGCGGCGGCTGTGATCGGTGGTTGGGTGAATGGATAATGGCGGTGGTGCGAAAAGAAGGGAGGAGGGCGGCGATGCCGGTAGAAATCTCGAAGGAGAACGGCGGCACTGGTGTGAATCTCGGTGGATAGCGGCGGTGGTTGTGCTCTGCAAAGAAAAAAAACAAAAAAAAAAGAAGAAGAAAGAGAACAGAGCTCTCTCTGCAAAGAAAAAAAAGAAAAAAAAAAAAAAGAGAAGAGAGAGAGAGAGTAAACGTGGGAGAGTGTGTGTGAAAATGAAGAATAAAATTAAAACCCTAACCCATAGGGGTATTTTAGTCTTACCATATCTGATAAGGGGGGTCTCACTAATTTAAATTGGGATTTGGGTTATGGAAAAAGTCTTTAAAGTCAATTGGGTTTAAATCAAAATATTTTCCAAATGAGGGGGGTATTGCATATTTCCCCATTTTTTTAATAGAGTTAGTTTATTTCAGTTTTATTTATTAATTTGTTAGTAGTTTTGTTTTATTAATTACTTGACTAATGAAATTGTATTGTAGATTTCGGAAGAGGCAAGGGTCTCATGACTCGTATCATGCAGGCAGATGAATTTGCTTGACATGAGGCATCGGCAGATGAGATTACTGCACACGAGGGATCAGAAGATGAGACTACTGCTTAACGAGAGGTTAGGACACACAAGCGTAAGGTTACTAGATCAATACGACAAGGCGAGCACGATTTGCAACCGGTGGATTTAGAGGCACAATAGATGAACGACCTCGACTACGATTTCTGTTAGATGAATTGGAAGGTGTCCCACGGCCTCTACTGCCTCAACCTCGACCTTGTTCTTCAGATGTGGGAAAAGTTGGGAACTCACTAAATACTCAATATGATCAATTTCAAATATAGATAAATTTTGTTGCTTTACTGAAAAAATATGAAATAAAATAAAGTTAATGTAGTATAATATATAATAAATAATTATATAAAAAAAACGGACAAAGGTTGTCGGCATCCAAATCGGGTGCCCAAAATGGGCGCGGATAGACAGTCCGCACGCCCAACGTGGGCGTGGATCGGACTTGTACACGCCCATTGATATGATCCTCAGTTGAAGAATTGGAAGAAACGAAAGCGCGTGAATTTAATGGAGTTGTTCGCATTCGAAATGACGCAAGTCAACGCAAGGGAGTTTTTTGAAGGGTTTATGGTATGGAACTGGAAGAAAAGAAAGCGAAGAATTCGTTGAACAAACCAAATTTCATGCATGCATCCAAGATTCTCGCCCATCTCTGACAGTTTTACCAGTTGAGTCATAACTCTCTCATTTGATGTCCAATTGAAATGAATCAAATTGCTAATGAGAGCCAACTGACAGTTCTACAACTTTCATGTTTTTCACGAAGAGAGATTCAAAGTGTAACAATATCATCGAGCTTTAAGTGCATGCACGTGCACAACCAAATGTCTACGCGAGTTTACAAGAGTGATCGGGAAGTCGACTTGATGTTCAAGTTGTTTAATGTAATTATGCACGTTTTTGTTTAAGGATTTATTAGGTCTTTAGTATTTTAGAGTTCTTTATGGTTAGTATTTGCTTCTTTATTAGTTTTCTTATTATAGTTTAGGTAGGAGTTATTTTCCTTGTGAAAAATGATTTTTTTTAGGACTTGTAAATAGGTTGTCAATTTGGCTTATTTTAATGGACGAATTTTTTATCATATTTTGAGATTATTCTCTCTAATTTTTTAAGAACTCTTTGAACATATCAGAGGATTATGTGCGTTCATCCCGACTTATCAATCGATCTTTCACAATCGACTGTGGCGTTTTCACATACCAAGGTTCTTGTCTCTTTATAGGCAACGGTCGCGGTTCCACCCCCTCGATTCCATTTTCTTGGATGTTTCGATTTTGCTTTCGCATAAGGTATTGAGTCCCATAACAAGGTTTGCGGGGTTCGTATCACCCATTTTGGGCGTGTAAAATGGTTTTGAGCTCCGTTTTGGTCGTGAGCCACCTCTTCCATATTTATAAAACAAAAACGAACAAGATGAGTTTCGGGACGATTTCTAATATACAAGCTTGAGAGGTTTCTTTTCTAGAGAGATGAAGAAATTGTAGAGAGTGAATTATTGCAAACCGTATTCGTAAAAGTGGCACCGTGTTTGTCAAGTGTATCCCTTATATTAAAGCCATAATAATATTATCTTTCTTTTCCTTTAATTTTTTTTGAACAAATATCTTATTTTTCAATTAAGTAAAAGTAGATGCATTACACTGGAAATAAAGTAAATCAATCTATATTTCAGTCGAATAGTATTTAAATAAATATAAAACTAATTATATCTTTTTTATATAATGAAATACTGTGAAGCCTACCGGCTCCTTCGACCCTATACTTAGTGATAAACACCGGATGAGTCTTCTGCTGATACGTGTATTTTTTTGTATTTTTTTAAAATTCTTACAGATTAACCCAAGTCGGAAAATATATAATAAATAATTAAATATAACACGTGTTAGCATTATCCGATATTTATCACCGGATGTGGGGCCGAAAGAATCGAAGCTTACCATATAGGTGCATCCGGAAAAAACTCTAATTGACCAGAAAACCTCCAATTGCCACAAACTTTCTTGATCCAACTGCTGACACAACTAAAACTAATTATTTTGTACTTAAATGAATCAAATCTAGCCATATCATACAAAAAGCTAATAAAATAGGTTGTTTTTGTAAATTTAAATAGTTAACGATGGGGAGTCTTTTATAAATAACATAAAGTCAATTGCTCTTATTCTTAATAAAACTACATTCTAGGGACTTTCAGCTAATTACTCAACTAATTGCCCCACAAGCTGTTAAAATAGATGACGACTCTCAGTCTGCCACTTACTTCTCCGCAAAAACCCAAAGAAAGCTTCAGCAATCAAAATCAATGGCGCTCTCAAAGCTTAATCCCCTCTCCTTCTTCCCTCCCCTAACCCTACTCCCCACCCCAAAACCCCCAATTTCACAACTATTCCCTGTTACCCCTTTCAAAAAAACCCTAATAACACTCCATCTCAAAACCGAACCCATGATCCCACTTCTACTGCCAAAACAATCACTCAGAACCATTACAAAACAAGAAGAATTCGATGAAGTAGAAGAAACCCCGCACCATGAAATTTCCGATTCTCCGTATTCTATGGGTTTCCCTTCACTCGCTTTCTCGAACACACTTTTCTTCAAGGCGGCGTACAACGTTCAGGTGATAGTGGGGGAAGACGAGTCCGAGGAGGCACTGGTCGGCCGGTTCCGCAGGGAGATATCTAGGTACGGCATTCTCCGGGAGTGTAGGCGGCGGCTGTTTTTCGAGTGCAACCAGAAGAAGCGGATACGAAAAGCTAAAGAGGCCGCACGCCGTTACCGGAAAAGGTCCGTCTTTTTTTTTTTTTTTTTTTGTTTCTAATTCTGCGTTGGAATTAGGGTTTTCTTTCTATTAGCATCACGGGCTGGTTGTTCATATGTATACCATGTCATTTTTGCTCACATCATTTGTGTATTTGCAATTTTTTAACCGAAAACTCGTAAATATTATATGAAAGGGTAAATTACGGTCACCTCCCGAGTTAAGGTCAAATTACGAAGAAAAAGAAAACCCTACTCATTAGTTAATTACGATTAGTTAATTACGACCACCTTCCTCAACTATGAATCTTCTTACATGTCCAACTTTACGGTGTCAAATTTAGCGGAATCTTCTAGATTATGTGGAATATTTTCCGGTTTGTACCCGTTTTATCCCATTCGAGCTCTACATTTTGAAACAACAAGATGATCATAGAATGTTTCTCTTAGCTTGTAAATATCAGATTGCGGTGCATCAAAAGCTGCATTTTTGCACAAAACGAGTACGAAGTAGAGAAATTCCATGAAATCTAGAGGATTATATTGAATTTTATACCGTAAGGAAGGGTGGATGTGTTAGAAAATTCACAGTTGAGGGTGATTGTAATTACCCAAACAAGAGGGGTATTTTCGTAATTTGACCTTACTTCAGGGTGACCGTAATTTACCCAATAGTTTAATTTCCCGCTGAGTTTTATGCATGTCGAGTTAGAAGCTAGCATCAAGTTTATTGCTTACTCTTAGGATTTTTGTTATTTAACTTCAATCCATACATAGTTTCTATTCTGCTACCGCAATATGTATTCTTTTTTCGTTTATCTGAAATAACCACTCTTAGTTATATAAGTAATCCGTTTCAATTTCTGCGTATAATCAGGCGCCCATACAAAAGAGTTCCGAAACCGGTCGAAGCGGAAACTTCAAAGATGAATACGGAAGATTCTGCCGATGACAACTGGGAATATCTTGACATAGATTTACCCTATTGTTGACTTGCTAATACGTAATTTCGTAGAGGAAACTCGAAATTGAACATTGTAGAAAAAACCAAAAGCAACTATTAAAAGTGACTTTTGGCTCACGAACCCCACTGACCATCATCAACACAACAGCTCGTCTTTTTTTTTTTTTTTTTTGCGTTAGGATTAAAATTTGTGGCAATGCCGATTTAACTCTTTTGTTCATCCTTGTTTTAGGTACTCGGGAAATCGGGAAATCTAATGTTAGAATTTATCCTAATTTTCATGCTATTATAACCATTTAACTAACGTGTTGCTGTGCTTTCTTGATCGACCAAAATGATTCTACGACTAAAAATTTCTTTATCGCACTAATGGTGTTTTTATCGGTTCCTAATTCTCTGTCACGCTATGGTTTCGTATTTGTTCTTGATTTCACTGAATTCAGTCTCAGACATGTATAGTACTTGCTTGGTTTGTTTATAAGATTCTTTGTTGAATAGAAAACAGAGCATCAAAATATCTTCTTTGAATAGTTCAAAAACAATGACAGACCTCGAGTACGTCAAAGTAAAACAAGATGTGAAAACCGGTCTTGTAGATGATTGACCTGGTAAAATACATCGGGTGGTTTAAAAAACTACAACTAAACCTCCATAAATTAATACAGGCTTGGGACCAGAACAAAATTATTAATTAGTCGAGGTTATTAATTTATCGAGATGATACAGTAATTGGTATGCTGATTAAAAAAGAGAGAAAAAATGGTAATTGATGTGCTTATTCTTGTTGGCCGGATGTACAAAGGGGAATATGCTGATGCCGAATGAGCATAGGGAAATGTTTAATCAAATAGATAATCCATTAAGAAAAAGTCTAAAACTGCATTCTCCTAGCTCATTATTTAATCAGTTTGTGAAAGTGAAAGCATCTTCTTTTACCTCCCTAGTTTTAAGTTTTGATAACTGGTCAAAAATCATAGTTTCGAATTTTTATTCATCAAGTTATTCACTATATAATCCATCCAATTTGATTGAATTTCCGAGCACTCGGAGATTTTCCACGAATCCGTTGTATATAAAGCAACTTCCACCATTTTCTCAAATTTATAGTATATATTTATTTTATATATAACATAGCGAAGCGTTTGAGTTTTGTTCGTCTAGATTTTGGAATCGCGTGGCCGTTCACCTATAACATTAGCTACTATTTTCGTACTTCGATAAAAGCTATATGGGGTTAGTGATGGTGGGGCGGGTTCAGGAAGGGTCCGGTTTTACCCGAACCCGCCCTGCTAGTAAATTTTTAAAACCTGCCCCGGTCCCTCACAATTTCTGAAAACGCAACATACACGGAAGAAGAGGGGGGCTGGGGGGCTCTATGGGAGATCATGACCTTAATTATACTTCTTAGCCATGAATGTAATGAAAAGTACTAAATTGTAAATTGCTAAAAGAAATTAAGATTTATCGTAAAGCTAAGTAGTCCCGCAAGGGATGGGCCTAGCGGTTGGAGTAAGTGGTTATGTGTCAATTGACCCAGGTTCAAGTCCCCTTGCCTGTTAGCCTAGTGTGTTTTACATCTCTCGTATGATTTGCAAGAAATTATACGAGAATGTAGGTTTACCCAATACACCTTATTAAAAAAAAAAAAAAAGCATAAGAAACTTCACAAAGTAACATCTTTAAGGTTTTGGAGATAAAATTTAAATTAAATGGCTGCTGATGAAATGTGATCAATATGCCAAATGCACAACTCCAAGCATTATGGAGCAAATAATAATTATATATATAATATACAAATAGGGAATTGTTTTGATTGATCTATGACAGATATCTCTGAATTTCTCCAGGCAGGGAACAGTCATTACAAAACCATTTTATTTTATTTATCTTCCCTTCTCACATGCATGTAGTGACAAATAAACATTGTTCACTCCGATTGAACAAGAAAAAAAAAGGGGGCCCTTTTATTTCCTATATAATCTGCCTCTTTTGGTAAGTGGTTCTTTCAAGAGTCTTGCTGCAGATCAAGGTTTTTCAGTATCCAAAGATCTTCCTTGTCTCCACACTTACATGGCCTACAATTTGTTTCATCAAGATTCCTACGACGATCGAAGAAGTTATCCAATTTTAGAAGACGACGAAAATGCCCCTATCTGGTTACCTCCCTTGTACGACGAAAGTAGTAACTTTAAACGGATCAAGAGAACCGTAAGTTTAGGTGCGTTTACGAGTAGCAACTCTAGCAGCAGTAACGTTTCTAGCCACATTCCTCGCACTAGCAGCACGAGTAGCTTGAGCAGCGTTCCGAAGCTTCAATTCCGAGACCATATAATGACCTACACTCGTCGTTATCTCACCGTCGAGGAGGAGGAGGAGGAAGGAGCCTCCGTCGCCGACCTCGTCGGGTCTGAGGGCGGCCAAGGAGGAGGAGTTGCCGGAGAAGGAAACAATGCCGACGGAATGAAACTAGTCCAGTTGTTGATTTCGTGCGCGGAGGCCGTCGCGTGTCGGGACAAATCCCATGCGTCGGTTTTGCTTTCCGAGCTTCGATCCAACGCTTTGGTATTCGGCTCGGCTTTCCAGCGCGTGGCGTCCTGTTTCATGCAGGGGCTAGCCGATCGGCTCGCGTTGGTTCAACCACTCGGCGCCGTCGGCTACGTCGTCGTCCCCCCCAGGACGACGACGACGACGAGCGTTGCCTCCGAGAAACGGGAGGAGGCACTGCGCCTGGTTTACGAGAATTGCCCGCACATCCAGTTCGGTCACTTCGTGGCCAATTCTTCAATATTGGAAGCCTTTGAGGGAGAGAGATTAGTCCACGTGGTGGATCTAGGGATGACCTTAGGTCTTCCCCACGGCCACCAGTGGCGCGGGCTCGTCCGCAGCTTGGCTGACCGGCCGGGCCCGCCTCCCCGTCTCCGCATCACAGCTGTCGGGCTGTGCGGGGACGAGTTTCGGGCCATCGGAGATGAGCTCGAGGCCTACGCGGTAGGGTTAGGGCTCAATTTGGAGTTCTCGGTGGTCGAGAGCAACTTGGAAAACCTCGACCACAAAGATATAGACGTTCGCCCCGGAGAAGTGCTCGTTGTGAACAGCATTCTCCAGCTACATTGCGTGGTGAAGGAGAGCCGGGGCGCGTTGAACTCGGTTCTCAGAGTCATACACGGGCTCTCGCCGAGGGTTCTGGCCCTCGTCGAGCAGGACTCGAGCCACAACGGGCCATTCTTTTTGGGACGGTTCATGGAGGCGTTGCACTATTATTCGGCGATATTCGACTCGCTCGATGCGGTGTTGCCCAAGTACGACACGAAACGGGCCAAGATGGAGCAATTCTACTTTGCGGAGGAGATCAAGAACATCGTGAGTTGCGAGGGGCCCGCGAGGGTCGAGAGGCACGAGAGGGTTGATCAGTGGCGGAGGAGGATGAGTCGGGCCGGGTTTCAGCCCTCGCCGTTGAAAATGTTGGCACAAGCCAAGCAGTGGCTGAGCAGCATCAATGCTTGTGAGGGTTACACTATTGTGGAGGAGAAAGGTTGTCTTGTGTTGGGGTGGAAATCCAAGCCCATTGTGGCTGCTTCTTGCTGGAAATGCTGAAACACAAATTAAAAAAAATACCTAAACAAAATTAATAATAGTGAATAAAAAATTAAGGCAATGTTTGGAAGTGTTTTTATTTTGTTTTCATTGATTTCTCAAAACAAAATTTATTTATTAAACTTCTCAAATAATTTTCTCAAAAAAAATTTCAAAAGTTTTTTTCTCCTTCAGACATGACGTGACTGTTACAGTAAAATAATTTGACTGTTGTAGTAAAAAATGCCTTCACTAAAAAAACGAATAAACATCACTTTCATCTTTCAATTTTTTTCTTCTAAAATACTTTTTTCTAGCACTTTTAAATATGATTTGACTGCTACATTGTATTTTGTTTCCTTCCAAAATATAAACAAACATTATTTTCATTCTCAAATTTTTCCCCAAAAATATATTTCCTAAAAATAAAATCAAAATAAGTTCCAAAAAGCTTCCAAACACTGTCTTAAGAATATATGTATAAAAAAAAAAAAAAAAAAAAAAAAAAAAAGAAAAGAAAAGAAGAAAAAAACGATTCCCTTTTATCAAAATTTATCTTTGCTCGAGTGGGATTAATTGGAGATTATTGCCCACAGAAAATAATTTTTATTTCAGTCGTTGAAGATGCTGTTGGAGTGAAGTAATTAATCCTGAATTGAGTTTGATCTCTTTAGGAAGTGAAATAAATTAAGTTTGGTGTGCATAAAAGTTTAATATGGAGAGATAGAGAGATGTTTAACATTTTATTCATTCTTTCATAGTGATAGTGACTCTCCATTGGAGATTTAGGTTTTTTTATGTTCAAATGGTTAATATATGATTCTTTAAAAAGAAAATGTAATATAATTAATTGTAAGATGAAGTTGATTTACTTGTTTGGATGTGCCATTAATCTTAAATGTGGGAGTCGAATATCAACAAGATATCACAAATCATATCACACTTCCCTATGTTGATCACACCACTTCTTGTGTGATTTTCTATAATAAGGGCTTATCAACTATTTTCCCTTGTCCATCTCCATCAATTTGACATAGTCGAGTTTGAACAAAGAACTCTTAAATCTCCAATAAGCTCTCTCATGTGCGTACAGGTGAATTACATTCAAAGTCTTGCACTTGAATTATATGAAGTGGGTGGCAGTGAGATTCAAATTCAGGACATTTCATTTGACATGGCTTCGATACTATTTTGAATGACCATTTCATCCAAAATTTAAGAAATATAAGAAATATGTCTAGAAATAAGAAAAGAATAGTTGTGAATGACTAAGATGGATTATAATTATTGAGGTCAAATAAGATCTTAAATTTTATTCACTATCGTTATTTATGAATTTTATAAGTGATAACATGATTTTTTTTTTTGATAATTGAGAAGATAACATTTAACAAAGGAGAAATTACAAGCGTCAAACAAAGGTGATCCACCATCACTCAAACATGAAATAGGAATATCGCAAAAAGGAATAACACCACAATAATTAAAAAAAAAAAAAAAAGACATTAAAATATAATAAGTAAATAAATGATAATGTATTACTTATTTTTAATAATATATAATTTTAAAGTCAAAGGCCTAAAAATTGTAAAAATAAATAAATAATCGTAATTATTTTTATACATTAAATTTCAATAATGTTTTTTCCTTTAATGCTGCATTTCAATAGTTTTCCAATATTCATAATATCATAAGTATGTATATAGATAGGTAATCACATAAAAATGACTTTCTATTTTTAAATTGAGGGCTATTCGTTTAATGTATTTTTAATCTTTAGATGTAATAATTAGTCTTATTATAGTCTTTAATAATTAGTTTTATTGTTTACTTACTTATATTTTATAAGGATTATACTGTAACTCAAACATCAATACTAATAAAAGAATATTAAAAAAATATGAAAATAAAGAAAAAGTTAAGTAATAGACGTGGATGATCAAAACTATTTTAAATTTTAAGGTCAAAGAAATAAAGTAAATATAAGAATGTATACATATAATTAGACAGAAGGGATGTCAATATAGTTTACTCAAAGTTTGGTAAGGGGTAAAAAATTAATTTAAGAAAAGTAAATGATCAAATGAGTAGAGTTTTAGTTATTATCCAAACTAGTAATTGTACCCGTGCGATGCACGGGACAACAAATTGCATTCTTTTGATGTTGTAGGAATATAAACAAACGTTTGATGTATCGTATGATCAAAATTCTATTATACTGGAACATTATTAAGTATACTACACACAAAAAAAAAAGGACATAACTTTACTGTTGAATAATTTTCCAAATGAATTGAATCAGCTAATACCAGTAGATTGAAAATTTGAACCAGGAAAAAAATCATCAATTATGTCTTCCATGTTGAGCTTAAAAGTAATTAGATTTAATAACTAAGTTAACATAATCAAAACTAAACTATCGACAACATACCATCTTAAAAGGCCATCTATACATCTTGCATCGGAACTAAGCCCTTCTCCACTGCCTCATTTTAAGGTTGTTTTGCCACTGGAATTAACAATTGGAGGATTAAGAAACAAAAATAAATATAAACAATAAATTAAATATCGCATACAAACAATAAGTCTTGAAGGTCGACTTCCAATAGTTTGTGGCTCCGCCCATTTTTGGTTAATTTTCTCAAATCATCCCTTTCAATAACATGTCCAATAACATATAAAATGAAATAATTGTTATACATAAAATTTGAAAACTTTGGTATAAATTAATGAAACACATAATTTAACAAAATGAAATTACCTATAAGCCATGATGGAAAAAGATGTAAACTAATTGCCACACATGCAATAGGATGAAGAAGAAGATAAGAAACAAAATCTAAAGTCGGGTTACCAAAAGAAGAAGCCTTAGGTAGGGAAGAAATAAAATTCAAATGTTGCAGACATTCTGTAAAACGATGTCACAAAATCCGCTAGAGATGAAAATCAGATTTATTTACCCTTTTCTGTAAAAATCGAAAATCAGATTATTATAAATAATATCTAGAAGAATTTGATGAAAATCGATAATAATATTTAAAATAATATTTCGGAGATAAAAATTTGATAAAAAAATCAAAAATAAAATTTAAAATAATAGTTAGGAGATAAAAATTTGATAAAAAATCGAAAATAATATTTCAAATAATGTTGATGAGATAAACGTTGATAAAATATGAAAATAATAATTAGAATAATATTTAGGAGATAAAATATGATTAAAATCAAAATTATTATTTCAAATAATATTTAGGAGATAAAAATTTGATAAAAATCGAAAATAATATTTAGGAGACAATAATCTGATAAAAAACGAAAATAATATTTAGGAGATAAAAAACTAATAAAAACATGATAAAACTCGAAAAAAATATTTAAAATATTGTTTAGGAGATATAAATTTGATAAAATTCGAAAATAATATTTAGGAGATAAAAATCTGCTAAAAGGTGAAAATTATATTTAAAATTATAGTTAGGACTTAGGAGATATAAATTTGATAAAATTAAAAAAATATTATTTATAATAATATTTAGGAGATAAAAATTTGATAAAAATAAAAAATAATATGTAGGAGACAAAAATCTGATAAAAATAAAAAATAATATTTAAAATAATATTTAGGGGATACAAATATGATAAAATTCAAAAATATTATTTAAAATAATATTAAGGAGATAAAAATTTGATAAAAATTGAATTTTTTTTACAAATATGACAATAGGGTTTCTTAGGGTTGCCCTAGCGTTTCTTTCTTTTATATATAAGATTTAAGGGAGATACACATATTTTTTTTTTTAAATTAGAGACACTCTAGTTGTAATTACTCCAAACATTAGGGCCTTGATGTAGTAACTTTACACTTTCTGTAAGGAAATTGTTGGTAAATTTGACCAGAGTGATCATAACATACGAGTAACACGAATAAAAACTTAATTGTTTCAAACAATATTTATGCATAGAAATTCATGATAATGAAAATTACCCAACTATCACAACAAAATAAGAGAAATTTTAATATGAGCATTTTCCAATGCATGAATTAATATATAACAATTTATTTTAGTTATTTTCTTCTAATTTTTATATTCTTATTAATTTCAATTTTAAAATAATTTTATTTAGTCATAAATTTTGATACATAAGTAGAACATGAAATTTTGTACTTATTTGTTTTTATTTAAAAATATTTTTTTTTGTAAAATTTAATAATATAGTATGCAACTTTTATTACAATCATAAATTATATATTGAGCAAAATCATACGTAATCACTTGCATCGCGCGTGGTGCTTGCCAGCAATTGAAAACACATAATAACATTGATATTATAAATATTATCGAAAAGTTAACCGAAAGTCGCCAAAATATCACTGAAAATTCGCAAAAACAGTACCGATCGACAATTCGCCAGATCGAAATGGCACGATGCCGTAGCTCGCCAATAAAATTCCAACCACCCGACGCCGACAACCGTTCGACCGGAGTCGGAATCGGAATGCGCAAGCGCCAACTGAATTCTTCAAACCCTCACCATGCAAAACACGAAGAAGTGAAACGCTGAAGCTCGAAATCCCGTTGAAGCCTCTCCATTACTCGAGCATCGAGCACGATCCACGCTTCGATTCCTCCACAAAACTCCAAAGATTCAAAAAGAAAAACATTATCCTTGTTCGCGTAGCTACCGATGCTCGCCCAAACAGGCCTCCCCCACCCAAAATCAGCTTCCTTCATCGCAAATCTGCAGTAGCTGCTGAATCTCAGCACATCAATATTTCCACCGAGTCCCAGCAATTTACTGATCTCCAAGAAATTCTCCTTACCAATCTCGAAACCCTTCTCCCCCATCAGCCTCTGAACGTAATCCGAATCAATTCTCCCGAACGCCGCCCTCAATTTCGCCACCAACGTAACCCAATCCGCCGTTCCGCCGCCGTCGCTCTCGGCGCTCACCATCTGGAAAATGTTGCCGAAGGAATATTCCGTCAGTGAGGGGATTTTACCCCGGAGGTTAACGGGGTGGAACGCGAGGGATCGGTGGGTTCCGCCGAGCCCCTTCGCCGCCGCGCAGCGGCTCCACAGAAACGCCGTGACGACCTCGATTCGGGATGGGTGGAGAATTTTGGGGGAATATTCTGTGACTATTGATTTGAGTGAATCGATGGATGATTTGGTGAAGGTGAATCGTTTGGTGGTGAATTTGGGGGAGAGGGGTTTTTGGACGGAGAGGCTGGAGAAATTGGGTTTGAAATCAGGGGTGTTTTGGGGAGGGAAAAGAAGGGCGGAGTTGAAGAGAGGGGAGATGAGGTTGGGCTGATCACGGCGGGCGGTGGCGGACCAGTGGGTGATGAATGAGCTGAGGGTGGCGGCGTCGGCGATTCTGTGTGAGATGCATACTCCGATTGCGATTCCTCCACACTTGAATGAGGTTGCCTGCAGAGATTCAACTAATATTTGATTGATTTTTTATTTATATATATATATATATATATATATATATATATATATATATATATATATATATATATATATATATATATATATATATATATATATATATATATATATATATATATATATATATATATATATATTGCGAGTGTGAGAGTGTGTGTGTCTGTCTCTCACTGTCACTGTCTCTCTCTCACTCTCTCTCTCACTCTCTCTCTCTCTCTCTCTCTCTCTCTCT